TAGATCAAATGAAAACACAATTTTCTTTATAATGAATATATATATATGGGCGCGATCAACCGCCCGGATACCCCATAGGAAATACTATTATTTCAGGAAGGAGTATATAATGAATTTTATACCAAATCAAAGCTCATCAAAAATGGGATTTATTGGTATTAAATAGTAAGGGTTTTGTGAACTTTATAATATCTAACTTAAGAAATTTTGAGAAATTTCATACATTGTTGGCATAGGAAACTAAGATGTCAGGAATTCAAAAATGGAGTAAAAAGCTTTTTTCTTCAATATTTTTACACGATTCGATAGCACTTGTCGAGCTCTACAAACCTGTATTATTTTTTAAAAAAATGATGTAAAGAACTTCAATACATATAGTTTTGTAGCGCTCGACGAGCGCTATCGAATCGTGTAAAAATATTGAAGAAAAAAGCTTTTTACTCCATTTTTGAATTCCTGACATCTTAGTTTCCTATGCCAACACGTAAGTGAAGTTAGCACCAGATTCCAGTAAATCCTGCCAAGATTCGCCCAGGAACATGTTCCAACTGCCCAGGGTGTGTTTCAAGTACAACTCGATGAGCTCTGACGAATGGTGCATTCTGATTCCCGATAGCTCAAACAAAGTCCAAGAAAATCAGACAATACTAGATTTTCACCATAGGTGATTTTGTATCCATCTACTAAAACCTGCCAAGATTCGCCTAGGAGCATGTTTCAAGCAGAGATGTGCGGGACATTGATTTTTCATGCCCCGCGGGACCCGCTCCGTAAAATTCACAAATCCGTCCCGTCCGGACCCCGTGGATATTCTTTATGAGAATCTCCACCTCGCCTGTGCCTCGGCAAATCTATGCCCGCTTCGCCCGTACCCTACACAGGCAGCTTCTTGGACTGACCCACCAGACTCGTCATTTTTGGGACGAGCCCGGCTCCGCCCCCGTGTAACCCGAAGACATTTTTTATGTACCAAATACTTTATTTTTAATAATACATTCCTTTTATAAATAGATGTCTCAGCACCACTCTAGCTAAAAGATTGTTTGATAATATTTAAAAAACCTTCATCTTCAACAACGCTGATAGGACGAATACTTTAACATATCCATAGTGCTATTAAAGATATTAACATATTTTTTCTTTTCAGAAGAAGATCGATTTATTTTCGAATTCGAAGTTGGTGATTTAGTACTAAAAATATAGAAAAAATAGATCACATTAAAAGATGATAGTTAAAATACCGAGGCGATGTAGATGTTGATAATGATTCTTTGACACATTTGTGAGAATTTAATGATTTGGTTGATCCATATGTAAATACATAAGTTGCATAACAAGATCGACATGTTGCAAAATTTTTAATAACAATATTACGATTATTGTCATCCTTCACAGCAGGAAGAGCAAGTCGATTTCAACAAGGAGATGATTTTGAATGATTTACTTTGTGATTGTCAACAAGCACATATTTTTCTGGTTGTTCTTTTAAAAACATTTTTATGTTTGACGGATTATATTTAACATTACTCGATGAGCATTGACCAAGAGATGAAGAAATGATTGAAGATAAACGATCAGTATTCGAAGTTGTACTATCAAGTCATTCATCAGCAGATAAATCATGTAATTCGATCATAGGAATTGACAAAAAAAATTCAAATATTAATTCTAAATATAAAATAACTTTTAGTCCAGTTATTCACTTAATATAAATTAATAGTGGAAACTGTGCATGACGGACGATAAAGAAAGAAAGAAACAATTAGCAGACAAGCTTGTGCATAATAGGATAAAAGCAATGAACTAATCAATATGTACTTTGTACTATACATACCTGCAGTAATGAAATCTTTTGATAAATTTTGACGATCCTTCATCACACCCGAAAAAAAATGTTTACCCGCCCGAACCCGTGTATTTCATACCCGCTCCGCCCGAGACCCGTATCATTTTAAAAATTTGTTCCCTGCCTCGTCCACCCGTGGGCCGAAAAATACCCGCGCCCCGTTAACCCCGCATTTAATTAAATTTTTCTTCCCCCGCCCGTCGCCTCGTGGCCCCGCGAGGCCCGCGGGGTGAACCCCGTATACCACACATCTCTGGTTCCAAGGGTGTGGGTGTCGGTGCTATTCTTCTCTTTAATGACACCCACACCCACACTCACCCCATCCACACCCACACCCACCCACACTCACACTCACATTCCACACCCACACTCACATTCCACACCCACACTCACATTCCACACCCACATTCCACACCCACACTCACACCTCACACCCACACCCACATCACCCACATCACCCACACCCACTCACCCACACCCACACCCACACCCACACCCAC